CCCGTCCTCCGTCGCATGGTGCGGCCAATAGACAAAGAAAACTGACTGTGACATTATTCATAATGACTATTGTATCTTTGCTGCAGTGGTATCTTTGCTGCTGTGTTGTACATACTTTTGTTGTCCGTTCTGTTTTAGTTAGATTTTCTTTCCTGATATTTACGCTTGAGATTATCTTTTTCTCTTCTATACCACACAAACTCTCTTCTTAATCCCATTATTTACACAATCAGAATGCCAGAGTTCAGAAAAGCTCTCCTGATGTTATTTAAACGTCGACAAAGACAAAATGTTGTTACTCCTCTTCATGCCCGTTAACACCGCTAACACTTTATTTTAAGTTCAAATGATGACCAGTCAACTATGTCAACTATTGGCCAATTGTGTTGCAGTATATATGATGTCAAAGCGAAGTATCAATTGATTTCGGGAAAGTTCTTAGGCATGAAGGTTTTAATTTCACCCGAACGTTTCCTTAAAGCCATTCCCGTTTGTATCCGTTCGACAAACCAATCAAATTGCTCTATTTCCTTTCGTTTGTGTTCTGTTTTGTTCTCGTGTTTTCATTTCAAGGTCATACGGAAATCGCTCTAAAAAGACTGTAAATACATAAACAGAAGCTGTTACTCATTTCAAGGGGCTACCTCACGCTATTTGCTAATATCTCTTTAAAACAGATAAACAGTCTCTTCACATCAATTGATTTAAAAAAACAATGGTCCAGTTTTGTTTAACGTTTTTACATTACATGCCGCTTAAGCGTTGAAAACGTTTCCTGTTGTCTTTGCAAAGGGTTGGCAAGGATGAATGTGGATTGGCTTGAAAACGTTGAGCCAACATTTTCAAGTCTTAATGCTATCCAAAAAAATATTATTATTATTAATATTACTATTATATCTTCTTCATAACTCTACGACAGCAAAGATGGACCTAAAACAGAAATATCCTCGTACTAGCTCCTTTAACCAATTAAAAAAGCAATTAAATATTCAGCAGGCATGCTTATTGTCTAATGAACGTGAGGAATTGTGCAATGGAAATGACACTTTCCTCAAGCAATTTTTTTTCCTTCTGTGCGATTATCATCAAACTGCTGAAATTTCCTTCAATTGGAGAGCCGTATTGCGAAGGCAGCTAGACGCTTTTAAAAACTGTGTAGCCCGAGGAGGGGGGGGGGGGTTGTTACTCCGGGGTTCCATTTTCAGGCTTCAGCAATAGTTAAGCTAGTATTTCATATTATTTTATTTATTCATTTATTTTATTTTATTTATTTATTCCTCCAACTCCTAGCTGATACATAGTTATGTAAATATAACCGAGACAAATAATATGGTAGCAGATAAAGATTTACCCAAATTTTGGGTAACTCAGATTTTTTGGGCAGCGAGAGAAAATTTGGGCAAAGTCAGTTTTTAAAGACGTCTCCATGTTTATTTCATTTAATTATTTTGAAGACCTGAATATTAACCTGAAGTCGGCGTAATAATCCAGTTACGTTACAGTGGTTGCCTAGCATGTGATGAGTAATTTACATATTTGTAGTTTTTTTATTCTTGGGCACTCTACTGCACTGCACTAGCTGGAATGGGCTATTTCCAATCGTGAATTGCTTAAAATAAACTTTCGCATAACTCTCTAGAATCATCTCCACTCGAGGAACAGTGTATGGCAGATAGCATCAGCAATGGGTATGAAAATGAAGAAGTGGCTGACTACTGAATTCTCATTTTCAATTAGCATAGCGAGAAGAATCTTAATTCTTTTAAAAAATCTATCGAGCGGTTCCATGAAATTATTCGCTAATTTGTTAAAGTAGACCGAAATGTTTACAAAACTGCTAACAAGAGTGCCTCGATGACTAATCAAATCCTTCTTTCGATTCTAGCAATCAAGCAGAGCTATCTCCACGATCTTTCACAAATGTTTTTAAAAAGATTAAAACTACTATGAGGTGAAAATGCATGTCAAAAGCGCTTCGTTTTTTACAGATAACGGCCAAACAACAAGATTTTTCTTTTCTTACCGTATTTCTAATAATAAAAACGTCATTCCAAAATATCTCGATAACGCTCTTAAGGTTTTGTTTAAACTTCACGAACATCAAGGCGACCGTATTGGAGAAAAATGCTCCTGTGAACGATTTTGTAAGGTACCCCGTGCCGAGAATCATTGCTGAAGTAAAATAGGTAATTGGTTCATTTCGTTGCTATGACAGCTCCAATGTCATTGCAACCCTGATGGTGACAAATTTTCATCTTGATACAACGGACGTCGCAATTTTTAAAATGTTTGTTTATGGCGACGTAGTTTATGCTCAGACTTGGTATTGACTCTGAAAAACTGTATCGGGTACCTTCATGTGCCAGGACTGCCTATGTTGTTGCAATATGGCCCTCATTTCTTTTCGAATCTTTCGTAAAAATTTGGGCCTATGACAATTAAATTGAATTAGATTGTATATTGGAAGGAGAGGAGAGGAGCACATCTAGATAAACTAATATTGTGCCCCTTAAAGTTAAGTATAACAAAGGACTTAAGATTATTAATAAAAAAGTAAAGGAAAAATGACAAATGGCTCAGAAAGTTATAAAAGGGATATTGATTCATTAGTATTGAACCAGGTACCAGCGTGAAAGTGCTTTTTTAAACATTTTTTTAGATGGTTTGTCTCTAATGGATTGCGGAATATCGTTCCAAAAGAAACTTCCAATAATGCTGAGGCAAAATCTCCTAAGATTAGTTCGAAATAAAGGTATTGCAACTTGATTGGATGATGCACTACGGGTACTGTAATTATGTAGTTCAGATACTAATGAAACAGGTATATTAGGAAACTTTTCATGGTGGAAATAATCATAAAAAAGCACACGGTGGCATACAAACGCCTCAAAATCCTTCTCCACCGCTTCCTTCCCTCTTTTTGAAGACATTGTTTGTTACTTGTTTGATTAGTTTGTAAAAGAAAAAGTAAGATTTACGTGAGAAATTATGTCAGGTTGGTAGAGCCAACAAAAAAACGCGGCCGTCATGCTCGCTGACCGCTGACCGCTGACCGCTGTATAGTATTTCATATTTAAAGGATAGTGCATTTCCAACAGTTAAAAGGGATGCAGCGTTTATTAGGTATCTGAAAGGCATATCATTTCCCTGTAGGGGGTACCTTTTCTGTCAAAAAATGGTATATAAAAGCTGGTAAAGGGTTGGACCACGGGGCGGATCCTCCCACGTATAAAACTTTGTTGAGTAGCCCCCCTCCCCCCCTTCCTTGGGGCTGTGTACTTGGGTTGTTCAATTTATTTGCATAGTATTTGACCGATGTAGACTTTGTTATTTTTACAGCTTTTTCCTTTTTCAATGCATTATTAAGAATCCTATTGAAATAAAATACCAAGGGGACGTTTTTGAAGCTGTTCAAATCACTCACAGCGCGTGTTTTCAACATTACAAAAACTACAGTAAAACCCGCGACTAAGAACTTGGTTTTTAAGAAAATGTAAGGCTTAAATTTACCAGTTAGGCCTCCTCTATTCAAGAACCTGTATAGCCTAAAATTTGAAACGGGGCCTTATTTTGCTAAAAGTCCATGAAATAAATCTGTGCACTTTTGCGAGTAAGATATGTCAACCTTAAGGGTCGTCCTTGGAGAGGTAGAAGCCTTATAGCTCCAATTGCAATGTCATGGTAGGCGGGTTTTACAAAAGGAATAACTGGATACAATGTATTTTTTCTTCAGAAAATAAGAACCTATCATGCAGGTTCTTATTCGCGGGTTTTACTGTATTTAGGAAATTTATCTTTTCGTAATTAATGGTTTTAATCAAGATAAAATATGCATTATTAACAGGTAATTTCTGAGTTCCACAAACCCTCACTTTCCAAGCAAGGCTAAGTGCAAATCCTTTTTGTGATAATACGTTTCATTTGCATGGGAGTAAAAAACGTCATTTTTGTCAAAATCATTTCGCTTAAAAACGTACAGAAGCTTGGGGTGACTAAGACATAGCCTATTAATATTATACTTTTAGATTTTAAGCTAATTAGGTGTTATAGACGGTTTTATGGTGTATTTTTTATATTTTTATTTTCTGAAGCACTACTTCGCATGTAAGCTGCAAAACAGTCGTTTTTTTTCTCTCATAATCGGTAATACAAAGGCCCAAAGGGCAGGCTTGAGATTTTCGCGCGAAGCACGGGAGCCTCACACGCTCGTAGGCCCAGTATCACTCGCCCTTTTCCACCTTCCCGCCTTTCGATTAACGGCTCGCGCGCACGTTCTTAACGAAGGCAAAAAGTAAGGCTGTTTTACAGTTTAATACGTATGTGGTCATTGATAAAATATAACAGTATGTAAAAAGAAGCCAGTGAAGTCAAAATAATAATAATAATAATAATAATAATAATAATAATAATAATAACGAATATTTATACACGATAGCCCTTCAGTGCAAGAGCACTGTTATCAAAGGGGTCCTGTCATAATAACATAATGTAAGGATAAAAACTAAAATAAGATAAGAATGACTACGCAACTAACTAACTACACTATACAAAAAATTGATCTAAAGACTCCCTAAATAGTATCCTACAGCTAATTTGCTTGATTTTTAAAGGTAAAGAATTAAAAGCTGAAGCCGTTAAAAAGTAAAAACTTTTCCGAGCAAAGTCAAGTTTCACTTTCGGCAAAGCAATGGTGGTCCCGCTGTTCCTCGTATTAAAATCGTGGATTAAAAGATTAAAATAATCTTTGAAAGGACTACAAACATTGCCTTTTAGGCAATCAAAAACAAATAAAGAAGCCTTTTTCTTTAAAAAATTTTCAATTGAGGATAGACGGGGTTCACAGTTAAGACATTTTGAGTTTTGCAGAATAATCCTCTGACTTTGTTGTTCCAGGTTTCTTATTTGGCACCTTCGTGTCTCTGACCAACCAAGGGTAATTTGACCGCAATAAGTAAATATGGGCATTATCATTGCTCTGTAGATTCTTTCAGCGCTTAAGGTGTCAGTGTTAGAACGGATTCGTCGTAATAAATTCACTCTTCCTTGACTGAGCTCTTTTCGACTACGTCTCGTGTTTACCCCTACACTTCTTTCGTACTCTGGCCGCTTTCGGCGTGATTCAGTTACAACAAAACAGAGCACAGTCAAGGGACGCTTTATTTGTTAATTAAAAAACAGTTTGCTGTTAATAATTAATACTTTTTTTTGCTAG